GGCTGTGTGGGGTGACCAGGCCAGCAGGGGGGGGCAACAAGGGGTGATCAGGCTGGCAGGGGAGCAGTTGGGGGTGACCAGGCCAGCAGAGTGGGGCATTTTGGGGTGACCATGCTGACAGGAGGGGCAGTTGGGGGTGACCAGGCCAGCAGGCAGAGGTGGTTAGGGGCGATCAGGCAGTCAGGCAGGTGAGCAGTTAGGAGCCAGCACTCCCAGATTGTGAGAGGGATGTCCAACTGCAGGTTTTGGCCCGATCCTCAGGGACATCCCCTGAGGGGTCCCGGATTGGAGAGGGTGTAGGCTGGGCTGAGGGGACCCGTCCCCATGCACGAATTTCGTGCACTGGGCCTCTAGTCAACATATATTTGTAATAATACCAATCGATGTCCCGCTCTCACAATGAACATTGCTAATGTTCATTGCAGGGACTCATATGGGATGAAATACTGGCTTACTTTACAGCATTCTATGCTTCTTTCTCTTTCTCCCCCCCCCGCTTCCCTTCTGCTGTTTTTGTCTTCATTTAATAAAACTGGCTGAGTAGGTATTAAACAATGAGAAGAGATGATTTTCATTTAATTCTTCATTAAGAAATTAATATTCATGCCAAATGATTTAAGGAATCACAAATAAATGCAATTTGTTCCAGTTCAGATTTGTAATTTGGTTTGGTTAAAGCCATGGAAGTGTCTGATTCTGTGACAGATTTTTGTTATAGAATTCCAGGACTAGGTTTTTGTTTTTTTAAACCGATTTTTACAGAGAGAGAAAGGGAGAGGGAGAGTGAGAAACATCGATGTGAGAGTGGGACATCAATTGGCTGCCTCCTATACTCCCGGCACTAGAGATCCAACCTGCAACCTGGGCATGTGCCCTGACCAGGAACCTTTTGGTGCGTGGGGTGACACCCAACCAACTGAGCCACACTAGCCAGGGAAGGACTAGGAGGGATTTTTAAAGAGGTCATTACTTTACTTTAGAACATCATGGTAATATGATAATCTAATTGTTTTTTAAAGATTTCCATAAAAATTCTTTAAATACTTATCAAAATGTTTAAAGAAAACATTTGACATTTTACTTAACTTACAGCTGTTCCCCCTGCAAGTGAAATCGGGCCCTTTCTGGAATGATGTGCCTGCCCAGTACTTTCTTATTTGTGTTGATGGATACAGACAACAAATGAATGATCTGAGCATATAAAGGAATTATTTTTCTTTTGAGCACATGTTACTTTATGTACATTTTCTCATTTCATCCTCAATATAATCCTCCTATCACCATTTTATAAATTTAGAAACAGAGATTCAAAAGGGCCAAGTAACTGGCTCATGGTTACTGTACTGATAGATGTAAGTGTGAAGACATCAATCCAGGTCTGCCTGGCCCCAATGCTGCCGTGCCATGCCAGGCTGCCTGCCTCCCTTAGATGTCAATTAATAGGTGCAATTGCATATCACTTCTTCTACTTAATTTCCACAAAACCTTTAGGGAGCCTTAGTTAGATAGGAGAATTGGCCATTTTAACCCTAACCACCACACAAGCCACGTTGATTTTTTTTTTGGAATGGCTGAATGGAAGGGGAATGGTTTTTTTTTTTTTAAATATATTTTATTGATTTTTTACAGAGAGGAAGGGAGAGAGATAGAGAGTCAGAAACATCGATGAGAGAGAAACATCAATCAGCTGCCTCCTGCACATCCCCCACTGGGGATGTGCCCGCAACCCAGGTACATGCCCTTGACCGGAATCGAACCTGGGACCCCTCAGTCCGCAGGCCGACGCTCTATCCACTGAGCCAAACCGGTTTCGACAAGGGGAATGATTTAAAGGTGATTGTCAGACAGGAAAAAGAGACACCAGAGAATTGGATAATCCATAACCAAAATGATCAGCCTCTGAAAAGGTCAGCGAGTCAGCTTCCAGCCCTTCTTGGGCACTAATCATACTGAGCAGAACGCTCCAGCTGTACCCAGAAGACTGCCTCCCCAGAGATTTCTGAGTGGAAGGGGGCAGCCGTGGGCATGGTGTACCCATATAAAAAGATTCACCTAACAGGAAAATCTGGTGGCCTAAGATCAACCTTTTAGTTTCAAATATTGAGTTGTAATCCTGGGTGAGAATGAAACACCATTGGTATTATTGTTCAATGGAATTAGTCTGAGTTGAACTGGACAAAAGGCAAACACACCAAAAGTATGTTTTTGTCATCAGTACTCACCCTTGCCCACATTGTCCCAGGTGATTCTCTCTTTTAAGCCAAGGAATGTTGGAGCTCTGGATCTTGAAAAGGACAATTCCAGTGCTTTAGTCTGCTGACCAGTTTCTTCCTTTTCATAACTCTAAAGAATACACGATGTCCTCACGCCGGGCATACCATTACACAATTCACAGCTTCCTGAACCTGAAAAAAAAAGTTAGAATCATGGAAGTGGGTAAGCTCTAGGAAAGGCTGAGACACTTCTCATCATTTAAGGATTGTGTCATAGCCGTTGGAAAAGCCACTTTCATATCTCATGAAAGGAATCCATCATTCATTCATTCATGTAATCAAAGAAAGCAGTTATGAAGTTTTCACTACGCATTAGCTGGAACTTCAAGGACAGATAAAATATGGAGCTGTTCTCAAGGAACCCACAGTTTAGTAAGGAGAACCAAAAACACAATGCAATAAAATGTCACAGGTACTCTGTGGAATAGGAAGTGGGTCTGGTGAGGGCACAAAAGAGGGAAAGGTGAACTTCAGGAGGAGTCTTGAGTGGTGTCTGCCAGGTGTTTTTCTTATTGGGGCAGAATAGGAGGAGTGAGTGATCCTTCATAATCCACAACTTTATTCCTGTCATTGATTTAACCAGTGGTTCTCAACCTTCTGGCCCTTTAAATACAGTTCCTCATGTTGTGACCCAACCATAAACTTATTTTCGTTGCTACTTCATAACTATAATGTTGCTACTGTTATGAATCGTAATGTAAATATCTGATATGCAGGATGGTCTTAGGCGACCCCTGTGAAAGGGTCATTCGACCGCCAAAGGGGTCGCGACCCACAGGTTGAGAACCGCTGGATTTAACCTTTCCCCCTCCTCTACCCCACTGCCTCATTGGTTCCCTTTAAACAAATCTAATATGTTGCTACTTTTATCATTCTGAAGCCTCTGAACATGTCTGACTCTACCTCTCAGCAGCAACTTGCAAAGGTTACCGGAATCCTATGCTTTTCCTGTTTCCTGAAAATGAGGAAAACTGATGTTTTGGCACCGTGGCTTTTAAACAGCTTAGAAGCAAAGCCCAGAATATGATTTTTTGGGGAATTGCCTGGGCTTTGGTTGGTTAGTACTGGCTAGTTTTCACCCCCCTTTCATCATCTCACAGCCATAAAGTTCAGTTTGGGGATAGGGTGTGTGTGTGTGTGTCTGGGTCTTTATGGACCTTCATTGAAATGTATATTTTTAGAAAAACCCTGATACTTAAACCATGTGGGGCAGAAATCGTTTTCAGGATCAGGAAGCTGAACATTTGTAAAAGGAAAATGTTTTTCCTATCAAGAATGAAAATACCCCAACTAAATGGATGTTTTAAGATGTGGAACAGAAAAATAAGGGTTGTTTTGGCACATAGTGGAAGTCCAGCGAACTGTGTAATGGACCTACTCAGCTGCCCTTATGGGGAAAAGTCTTCCTAGAACTGTTTTCCAAACGGAGGGTAATTGAGAGTTGGTCTCCTTTCACTTCTACTAGAATGGAGCAGCCTCCTGTAATTTTGGTTTGATAAACACAGTATTTATAACTCTGGTTAAGGGGGGAAAGGAATTTTCCTCTGAGGCACTTGCCATGGCCAGGCAAGAGGACATGGGCCGTGACTCATTTGCTCTGCATGAACTCAGCCATGGTCACCCAAGAGTGTTGGCTCCAGACGGCAGGGAATCAGCAGTGAGAGTTATTGTGTTTTCAACATTCTGTCCATTTCCCCCTAAGGGACTCACACCTTGAGACATTTTAACTGAACAAGATGTCTGAGCTTAAAGGCAGCTATTCATAGCAGGTTTGTCTGTGAGGATCCCATAAATTACAGCACAAGGAAT